GAGAGAGAGAGAGAGAGAGAGAGAGAGAGAGAGAGAAAGAGAGAGAGAAAGAGAGAGAGAGAGAGAGAGAGAGAGAGAGAGAGAGAGAGAGAGAGAGAGAGAAAAGAAGAAAGGCAGAGGTGGAATACACGGCAGCCTACCGTCCAAGGAACAATATGCCAGTAGACTGGTAAGTCATGAAACACGTGGCAAAACATAGATTAATAGAAATGGGTTAATTTAAGATATAAGAGCTAGCTAGAAAGAGGCCTGCCATAGACCATACAGTTTGTAATTAATATAAGCCTCTGTGTGTTTACTTGGGGTCAAGTGGCTGCAGGACACAGGTGGGAGAGATTCGTCCTGACTGTAGGGCCAGGCAGGACCAGAGAAACATCTGACTACAGGAATTGAGACAGAAGCTTCCCATACTGAGTTATGAGAGTGCTAGCCTAGGAGCTTTCAGCAGCAAATGGCTTAAACAAAGTGGATATATTATCATAGCCCACACACCTGGAGACAGAAATGACAGAGGTTACTTCAGGGTCTCCTCATGTCCTTGGGACTCTGCTGCTCCTGAGGACCTGGGTTCCCAGCATTCACAGATGTCTGCACAGGGGATCTAATGCTCTGTGCTCAGACATACATACATGACATGACAGACATGTCATACATGTCATTGGATCTCTGCCGTCATCCCCAACACAGGCCTCACACTGTGCTGTGGCCTGAAGTTCCTCTAACCCTCACTAGCACCTGACAAAGTCCAGAGGAAAAGCAACAGACCTCTCTCACCTGCACTTCTGGAGGACAACTACATGCTGAGTGCATTTCCCTCCTGAGGTGGATCTGATTACACACCTCATCCAACTACTATCAAGAGAGACTCTAGGATTAACGAATCAAGTAATATCTTTGGAGCTGTGCATGGGCAGGGAAGTTTGGAATAAAATCACTTTTTTGCTGGAAGAAAGGAATGGGCAGTTATGGTCACTGGTGATGATACAGTCAAGCATTGGTGCTATGCCCTTACTCCTTCCCCAGATCAAAATGAGAGTGCTATTCCTTGATGTCAGAGATGGCTCCCCAGTCAAGAGCACTGGTTGCTCTTTCAGAGGACCTGGGTTCCCAGCATTCACATGGTGGTTCACAACTGTCATTACCAGGGGATGTTATGCCTTCTGTGCACAGACATAAATGAAGGTAATCATCCATACACATAAGAAAAGAATTTTTAAAAATGTCAATTTAAAAAATGAAAGCACTCTTCCTTACATTGAACCCGCATCAGACTATAATTTCCAGGGATAACCATCACAGAAACAAGCTAGTCCATAGCCAGTATTGCCAGCTGAGATTCAGCAAACATGGGCACAATGACCTTAATTGCACATGACCTTAACCACACAGCCTTACAAGTCAGGGTCAGCTAGCTTCGGCTGTAACTCCACACTACAGACTCTACAGCCAATAATAAAGTGACAAGGCACTTTTGGAACCCTTAATGTCCCAGGGAACACAAAGATCACAGTGCAGTTTTTAAGTCAGTTGAGCTAGCAGACTCCACTTTCCTCCACAAGACAGGGTAGGAGCCCTAAATACCCAACTTAGGAAACTGGAAATTTATCTACAAAATAGAAAATGCTCGTTGCTTCCCAGTCTTACTTTTGAAGCATCTCCACCAACACTTGGTTCTTTCTTTTTCTTGTTGTTTTTTTTTGAGACAATGTGGCCTGGCTCTCCTGGAACTTACCATGTAGTATAGGTTGGCCTTGAACTCACAGAGATCTACCTGCCTCTGTCTCCCAAGTATTGGGATTAAAGGCTTGCACAAAGCCCAGCTAACACTTGGTTTTCTCAATGTTTCATTACTGTGCTCTAGGCACACAGCAGAACCACAGATTAATATTTTCCGTTAACTTTCCCTCTCCGTTCTTACCATTGCTCCTGTAGAAGAGGCTTAAATGTGGAAAGAGTAGGTTTATACAGAGACCCAGGGAAAGATGTAACTCTCCCTTTTATTAGCCATGTGACTTTTTAAGACAAAGAAGTTTCTGCCACTCCTCATCGCTGTCACAAGTAGATGATAGCTCCGGAATTGGTTGTCAAAGCAAAGATTACATGTAAAGTGCAGAACGTATTATTTAGGATTTTTATAATATCTCTCCTCACAACAACTGAAAGAGTTAGTGAATATTTGTCAATCAAACTGAAACCCTAAGGAGTGAGAGATAAAGTTGGATCTTCATTCCTGATAACACCAGGGAAGCAAATGTCAACCATTACTGTAAAGCAGGAGGAATGCTACCCCAGCAATCAGACAATGCTTCAGCCCCACAGAACCCACCTTAGGAGGGGAAGGCCGGGAAGCCAGCCTGACATCCCATTTGACTTGATCTCAAAGAAGAAATGCTCCTGAGCGTGTAGGGAGGGAAGGAGGAGCCAGGGAGTCAGGCCATAGGAAGAGCAGTTTCCGAAGGTGCTGAGGAAGGCGGTCCATGTGACAGAACTACAGTGTTGGGCAGGACTGAGGCTGGGGAATGGACCAAGGAACAGTAGCTGGAAAGGCAGGTGGAATGGACCCGTGAAGGGCTCATACGCCGGCCAAGTGTCTTTTCTCCTACATCTAGTAGTAAATAACTTTACCACATATAATTTTTGTACACAGACCTACAATCCCAGCCACTTGGGAGGCTGAGACAGGATTTGAAGTTCGGGGTCTATCTGACCACAGAGTTAGCTCAAGACTTACCTAAGCAACTTACAGAATGACCTCAAGGCTAGCCTGCACACTTGAGTGAGGCCCTATCTGAAAATGAAAAAGGTCTGAGGAGCACTGGGATCATATCTGCTAGTCACTGAGAGTCAGGGGTGGCCTAGGATCATGTCTGCACTAGGGTAACTAAGTAGCATGCTTGGCTTCAAAGGAAGTTGAAACTTATTCGATGATTCCCACCTGAAAAACTAAAAGGCATATAAAAATAATTATTTTTTATTTGCAAACAAAAACTTCAAATTGGGCCACTAACCCAATTCCTGTCAATTCTGCCCCCACCACAGTGGATGAACACCACAGACCACATGGGCTTGTCATTACTACTCTAGTGGAAGGCAAATCCACTCTTTGAGACAGAAATTGTTAGGAGCCCAGAGAAAGACGCAGGAACCAGAAGTTAAATAAAATCCAACAGGCACCTCCAGTAGTAATCATCCTGGATAGTAAGAGTCAGTTCTTAGCTGGGCACTTACAGGATTTGGTCAGAGAGGGCAAAGGAGGCCACCAAAAAAAAAAAAAAGCCTTTTACCAGGCTCTTGGTCTACGGAAGAGAGAGAAAACATCCATCTGGACACTCTGTTACAGTCTGCGGGCGGCAGACCAGAAGAGGGCAGGGCTGGTAGGTAAAAGTGACTTCTTTTCCATCAGCAGTCCCTTACTGGCTATGGCTCTTCCTTGCTCTCGGCAGGTGGAGGGACTCCAAAGATCCTGGCAAGGAGTCCCCTGTTGGATCGGGCCTGGTCCTGGGCATTTGCCAGCCGAGCTCGTTCCCGCCCTCCTGGCCGTGCTGCCTTCCGGGCTCTCAGCTCCTGCTCAGTGGGACGCTGAGCAAATGTCCAGGAGCTATTCGGGCGGGTAGCATCCCCATCAGCTGCAAGGAAGCGCTTTCCCCGTTCTACACTTTGAAGATAGAAGTCAGTCTCTCGCTTTGCTTGGGCGACCTCTGCTCTTAGGCGCTGCCTGCGTACCTGGCGCTCAAAGGCAAGGTGTTCGCTGAGGTGGGACCAAGTAAAACGATGCAAATACTGTGGACAGGAAAACAAGAAATGGTCAGGGCGGGGAAGACCAGAATGGGAGAAGAAACGGGGAGCTGTTTAGAACTAGAAAGAGGGACAGGGTACTTGGGCTAGGGCTGGAGGGAATAATGAAAGTGTGGCAGAGAAACCTAGACCTCACCTTGAGGTTCCACAGGTCATAACGGAAGGGACTGCGCCTACGGGCACCCATGGGCGTGTTATGTAGACTGGCTGCCACTCGCTTGGCTATGCGCTTGTCACGGAATTCCACCCAGCCTTCTGTATAGTCCTTGCTGTATTTAGCTGCCCTTTTTCCTCCCGCGGCCGCTGCTGCCTTCTTTTTGCGTCTCACAAAGCGGTCTGTGGGCCAAACACAACGAACATCCTGGTCAAGCATCCACTGAGACACACCTCCGTTTGGCCAGAAGTCCAAACCTGCCAGCTCGGGTGTTAGCTCACAGTTGTTCATAGAAAAGGACTATGTGTAAGGTGCAGACTCTCCTTTCTTTAACTCGTTCCTCTCTTCAAATGACAACTCCCTGAACAAACAAGAGCCGCACCAACTCCCACATTTCCAGACTCTGCGTGTCAAGAGGTGGAAGAGGCTGAAGGAGGCTAACCATACACTGTTTCAGGGATTATTTGAAAATCAGGGGTATCTTTCAGGCCTTATTACCGCACTCTATGCGCCCGCCTTCTCCATTTTCCTTCTCCCCCCTCAGCCTTCTAAGAGACATGAATGCTCCAGATTTAACAGCTAGTAGGGAGCCTGAGCCTTCCAAAAGCCAGCACCCCACGTCTCACCCGTGTACAGCCAAGACAACAAGTCGTGCCCACCTGCCTGCGTCGCCACCCTCTCATTTCGACGCAGGTCTTACCCTCGGCCTGGAAGAAAACGCGTCCCACTTCACCGTAGGCGCTGAGCAGGTTGCGTACGTGCAAAGGCCGGAATCGCGGCGGGACATGTCCCAGGTACACAATACCCGGCACAACCTTCTTCTTCTTCTTGCTGCTGTTGCAGCCCGCTTCCTCGGGCTCCTCCTGCTCCTCCGCCGCCTCTGCATTCAGCTCTGCCTCTCCCTGCGACTCTCCCTCCATCGGCGCCTGGTGCTGCTCCACCAACTCCGCGGCTTTCATGACGGCGGATGTGAGACACACCGGAGCCGTAAATCTGTCGCCACCCGATGACGCATATCCTACGAGCCGATCAGGGAGGGGACAAAGGTGGCCTATGACGTAGATCCTGTGTGCTGGTCTGCGGCGTGGGGTTGGGACAGTCCCGTGAAAACCAATAAAATGATCAGGCGTGGTCAGTTGCGGGGGAGCGGAGCCGACCAGGCAAACGCAAATGGACAAATGGACGTTCAGAGCTAGATTCCTGGCTTGGGGCGGGGCGGGGGCGGGGCGGGGAGGTGGGCGGGGCGGGTGGGAGGGGCGAGGCGGGGCCAAGTCGCAGGTTCCTGCAGAATGTCTCCGCTGATGAATGTTTTTGCCCGCCTACACCAAATGCGTGTCCTGGTGCCTCTCAGGGGTTTTTACAGACCTTGTTGGGAGTGTTTGTGTTGTAGAGACCACAGCAGTATTTTATTCCAGGGCCGTGGTGCGAATGTGGCGGAGGAAGATAACTCACCCTTTAAAAGCTTTATGAAGTTCAACTTGTAAATTTCAGTCAGAGCTTTGAAGTGTTAGTTATTTGAAGTTTCAACTGAGTTTTAAACATTTTCAAATTAAAGTTTTGAAGCAGCTTATACGTTTGCACATATAATTTTGGGATTTTAATTGGATCTGTGCTTTTAAATTTTAAATGCGCCTCTAGCGATTTTAAATTTAACTCTGTGAATATTTCAATCTTTCAATGTACTGGTTATTTAAAGGCGTTTCTTTGACTACTGTTGTGCTGGAACCTATTTCTATTTCAGGTTGGTGAGCGAAGGGTACGGACGGGGTAGCCGCCCTCTGGCCACGCTTCGGTCAGCACCCCGCGCTGCCTGGGCACAGCCGCCAGGGGGCGCGGTCCCCCACCAGCCGGTCGCCCGCGCTGCCAAGTGGCCAGAGTGGGACCTCTGCCCAGCGCAGTGGCAGCTGCTGTGCCTCGGGCTCCTAAGGCCAGCCGGGGAGGCTCCAGCGATGCTGCTAGAATTCGTGAACAAACCGTCCCTCCTGCTTTGCAGACGGAGCCCAGGACGACCCTGAGGGTTTAAGTTTTCCCTCACTGGACATAATTTCTTATCCTCCACCGCTACGGAAATTCTAGAGGACAGAAGCCAGGACGACTCTGGGCGTTATTTGTAAAGCTCGGGTGCATCTGAAGGCCTAATAATTAAACCTAGGCTTCTCGTGAGTTTGTTTTGGTGCTTTCATCGACGAGAACTTTCTGTTGGTTACCGCTGCTCCTTTTCGGGTGTAGGGAGAAAAGATTCCTACTTTTCATTTTTAACTGACTACCTCACCCGCAATAGTGACGCTTGAGAACACCTCATAGAGTTACTGCAAAACTCACATGTGCCGGGGGAGGGGCGCATGTGAGGAAGATGCCACAGTGTCTCCTGCGGTATCTAAATGGCAACACTGGATTATATTTCTCTACACTGTGTGTGCTTGGAATTACTGTTAATGAAATACTTAGATACACAAGTGTCAAGTCAGCTGGGAGTGCTGGCAACCATGTGATCTCAGCTCTTGGGAGGTGGAGAAAGGAAGATAAGTTCCAGATATACTGGGCTACAAGAGAGACCCTTTTAAATTTTAATTAATATTTTTTAAAGTATGAACATAGTAAAAGATCATGAAGACTTGACTGGCCAGTGAATGAACATGTAAAATCGTGGTTCAAGGAATTGTTACCACTCATTATCCTGTCTGAATTTATTTCACCCCAACTTCTATAATTGTATATGCACATGACATTGGGAATCCAGCGCTGGTTGAGACCCTTTCAAAAGATCATTCCTTCGAGCCGGATTCGAACCAGCGACCTAAGGATTACTATACAAACCTACAGTCCTCCGCTCTACCAACTGAGCTATCGAAGGAAGATACCTGTACATTCTTTAAGGTTTATAAACTAGCTGGTGGATTTGTTGCAGTTCGACTGATACATTTTAAAATAGATTGTAAGGTGTGGGAGCCCGTTCTCAGGTTCCTCGTGGCTTTACCCAGCATGTCCGCATAGAGGATGATTAGGACCACGGGCCTGAGTGCAGGTGTCTGAGATGGTCTGCACTTGGCTGTGCTGGGGGAGGAGGTCTTTTGCTCCACCCCTTGGCGTCTCTATAAAAACCCTGGGGCAGAGACAGTCGGGGCAGTTGGAATAGGTTCCAGGCCCTCTCGAGGCTATCCTTTATTTTCTATCTGTTTATCTCTGCAATATTCTCCGCAATAAATCCTTCTGTCTAATATTTCCTGCTGCTCACACTCAAGAAAACTCTGGGGAACTGTGGGGTTGGTGGGTAAACACCCCACAGTAAGGAAGTGTTTTTAAGGTACTAGGATATTCTAAAAGTAATTTAGCTAGTGATCACACAACAGATGTTTGAGAACATGTTTGAGATGTGCGCTTTTAATGTATAAGTGTTTCACATAGATTTCCAAAAAATGTTCCTAGGGATATTCATGCACTGAATCCTTACAGACAGGACCACTTTCCCTGCCGTGCTCCCCGGTCTCTTTAGCTCCTCCTTTCTATTAAAAGAGAGAAATGACAATGATACCATAGACAGACAACACCATCCTGAAGCCCAACTATTGCCCATTTCACCAGAGAAACGCGTAATTCTTTCTCCTTTTTGAACAAGGAAAACTAGGTGCATGAAAGGCCTTTAACGTGGCCTAGAAAAGGAGCGGAACATGCTATTTTGCACAATTGTAGTGGAGCAAAAAAAAAAAAAGAAATATTACACATACACTCCACCTCAAACAGGAATTTTAACCACTCCATTTTCAAGTATGCTGTCATGCTTCACTAACAAGCACCTAAGATGCCATTCAGCTTCCTGATCCTAAGACAGAAAAATGAGTACCGGTGGGAAAAACAAGGAGCCATCCAGGGGTATTTTTATTGAATATATGAATTATGAAAGGCTTGGGTATTATAAATTACGACATGTTTGAAAATCTTTCTGGTATGTTTATCTATAAAAGATAACATCTTGTGGCCAGGCGGTGGCGCACGCCTTTAATCCCAGCACTCGGGAGGCAGAGGCAGGCGGATCTCTGAGATCCAGGCCAGCCTGGACTACAGAGTGGTCATTATAAATTTAAGCTATACATGAACCTGACTCTCCTCCATACTTCAATAGTGGTGTTTTTATACTATCTTTGATAATCGAATCTAAATGTCATCAAAACAATCCTCCTTCGAGCCGGATTCGAACCAGCGACCTAAGGATATCAACAACCACCTACAGTCCTCCGCTCTACCAACTGAGCTATCGAAGGAAGCTGTCAGGAGCTTCTTGATTTATGGAATAGCTGACTGTTTTGTTCTATTTTCTAACTCATTTTAAGAGCAAACTATCAGGAAAGTGTTTTAAGATAGTAGAATATTGCTTTCACTGGACTTGTCCTACCGTGCTGGCCTGCCTCCTTAGGACTCCCTCCCTCTGTTAAAAGTGAGAGAAAATAACAATATCATAGACAATACCATCCTGAAACGGAGCTATCGGCCCGTTCAGAGAAATGCATGACTCTCTTTTCTAAAGAAAAAGGAAAGTAAGGGGGAATGCAAATGCATGAGACACAGAACTTGAGAGCCTTCTGATAAGTGTTTGAGTTTGGTTTCTGCCACTGTGTTAAAATACTATGACCAAACGCAGCTTGGGGAGGAAAGGGTTTATTTAACTTACGCATCTTGATCACAGTCTGTTATAAGCGAAACCTGGGCAGAAACTCAAGCAGGCAGGTCCTTGGAAGCAAGAAGTGAAACAGATAACATGGAAGAATGCTGCTTACTGGCCTACACACCATGGCTTACTCAGCCTGCTTTCTTATACAGTCCAGGACCACGTGCCCAGCAGGGGCACCACCCACAGCGGGCTGAGCCATGCACATCAATCATTAATCATGAAAATGCCCCCAGAGGTTTGCCTGCGGGCCAGTCTGATAGAAGTCCCTCTTCCAGATGACCCTGGCTTGTGTGAAATGGACAGAAACAAACCAGCACTGCATGTGTTTAGGAATGGAGTGATCCATGTTAGGGTGAATAGTTATGCTGGAACAAATAAACAAAACATAACATGTACCTCAAACTTGATAATTGAATCATCTGTATTTAGGTATGCTGTTATACTTGGCTGGCAACCACCCATGGTGCCACTCAGCTTCCTAAGACAGAAAGTGAGTACCATGGGAAAACACAGGAAGCCATCCAGGGAAGCTTTTATTTATTTGTTGGAGTTTATAAATTTTAAAGTTTATTGATCATGAAAGGCAAGGAGAGCATATAACATTTATGGAAATATTTCTAGTATTTTAGCTATAAAAGACCATCACATTAAAATGAACGTTCTTTCCCAGTGAAGAATTCTTGCATGTCAATTCCCGTTCCAGCCCCAGGGCTTTGTGAAGACGAACCTACTGACGGGGACTGGCGGGAAAAGAGAAGAGTGTTTGTTCCAGAGGGATTTCCTGGCGGATTATCCCCGTTTCTGAAGAAACCGTCAAGCCTTTTCTCATCAGCTTCCTCCGCTCATCCACTGAAGTTGCCACATCTACACAGAGTAGGTGGCTTCTGGAGCTCTGGTGCACGCACAGGAACATCGAGGGTTCCAGAGAGAGTTTTCGGCTAGGAGGGAGTCTGCAGAGGAGAGGAGAAGGGAGCTGAGGGAAGGTTGGAAGGGGCTGGGGCAGCCTAGGTGCACCAGAAAGCCTCTGAGAAAGAAAAACCAAAACTCATACACCAACAGCAAAAACAAAAACGAGCTCTGCCTAGATTCTCCTGCTTCAGCCTCTCCAGATGCGGGGATTCCAGGCGTGGGTCTCTACCCCCGTCACCTGTCATTTTAAGAGACTCTTCAATCCTCTTCGCCCTAGTGGGAAGGAGGAGGGAGGGGAACACGGACCCGGTCCCTCTTTTATACCCTCGGACCACCTTTTCTCAATCCTACCGTCCCGGGGAGAGGATCGCACATTTTAGGTGGGCGGAGTGTGTTGGGAACACACTGCGAAAGGGACTGACCTGATGGCTTTATCTAGGAAATGGTACAGGACGTTTTGCTTTTGGGGTATGCTTAGCATGGCCTCATGAAATTCTTTCTCTGTCAAGACTAGCTGATCCCGACCACAGCGGACCCCACAGGCTGTCGCATATGTCCTAATTCCTGGCAAAAAGTCAGGGCGTGAGAGCAGGGAACCCTTGACATCCTACACACCCAGTGGATCTAAAGAGAGACTAGAGTAAGGGGGAGACCCTAGTTCTGTCTAAACGACACCTACGTGTTAGGGGAGACTGTGATTAAATTATATCTGCACTCCCATCAAAACACTCATCCTTCGAGCCGGATTCGAACCAGCGACCTAAGGATATCCTGAGAGGATAGGATAGGCAAACTCCACTACAGTCCTCCGCTCTACCAACTGAGCTATCGAAGGAGTCATCAAGCTTCTACTTAAGTAATATTATATGATCTCTATTTTGCTATGTTGAAGGTATAACTATTTTTAATGTAATCTCTTCAGACATTATTTTATATAATAATGCTGATAATTTCATGGGTATATATATATAAAAACTTAGTAAGATTTCCTGTCCTCGATCCTCTTCTAGATATTCTGCAGCCTGTCCTGTCTGATTTGTCCTGTCCTGTCCTTTCTCTTAGATTTTTCTAGATTTGCTAGATAAATGATCTGGTTGCATTAAGTTTGAGACAGCCGAGGAAGATATTTGTGGGGTGTGGACAGCAATGACTTTTGGTTCTTTTGGTGCCCTGGCATTTCTTCATGAAAGTCGGAAAGTGGCACCATTTAACAATTTTCAAAACTTCAGTGTGAATTGTAAAATAGTCCTCATCTTCCAGTACCCCTGGAAACAGAGTTTGGAACGTTGACACCCAGTCCTTTGTTACCGGAAATCCATTTGTTCCTGCTGAAGACCTCCCACCTTGAGTATGGTCACGGCAGCAGATGGATCTGTACCTGAGGGATGGGCTAACCTTCTGATCCTGTTCCACACCTATGCTTCTCATCGTCATTTAAAGGATAAATATTGGCCAGACTGGGCAGTCTCTGTCAGCAAGGAGAAAGAATCCGGACAGTGGTGAGTACCAGGTCAAGTCTATGACAGGAATAATAATAGTTCAGCAAGATAGGAATACAGTTTTAGCATCTGAGATTTAAAATCTCTTATGTGGAAGGAGCTTCTTTCCACAGAAAGCCATTCTCTTTTTGTTAACCCTGCCTGTAATGAATAAGCAAAAGAGAAAAGCAAATATTAAGGGTGGTCTAAAGGTCCTGGAAAGGTCTGTGCGGTGGTCTAAAGACCCTGGAAAAGCTTGTGTGGTTCTAAAGACCCCGGAAAGGCCTGTGTGGTGCTCTAAAGACCCTGGAAAGAACTGTGTGTGTCTAAAGACCCCGGAAAAGCCTGTGTGGTGGTCTAAAGGCCCCGAAAAGGCCTGTGTGGTGCTCTAAAGGCCCCGGAAAGGCCTGTGCAGTGGTCTAAAGACCCCGGAAAGGCCTGTGTGTGTCTAAAGACCCCGGAAAGGCCTGTGTGTGTCTAAAGACCCCGGAAAGGCCTGTGTGGTGCTCTAAAGACCCCGAAAAGGCCTGTGTGTGTCTAAAGACCCCGGAAAGGCCTGTGTTGGCGCCTTGCACAGCTCAGAGACATAGGATCAGGTTTTAGGATGTGTGTTTCTTTTTCTTTTCTTTCCTTTTCCTATTTGTTTATTCCTTTATTTATTCAAATTTAAAAGGGTCTTGTTTTCTAGTTCTGACTGGCCTGGTATTCATGAAGTAGCCCAGGCAGGCCTCCCACTCAGCTCTAGAATGTCTCACCTTCTCCCTTTCAATTTTTATTTATCTTGCTCGGATTTTATTGAGTTTTTAAAAATAAACATTAAGCTCACAAGAGGAAGTCTCCTTTGATGAACTTTCAGGAAAAGAGGCCGTTGTCTGCTATTCTCATATGCAACAGGCCTCTGGCAATGTCTAGCCCACCCCTCTGCTCACCACCAGAGTCCTGTCTAGGACTTGGAGCTACACCTGATGCTCGGCACTCCGTAAGTCCAGCAGGAAAGGGCAATGACTTCTTTTCTCTTTTTGCAAAGACTTCTCTAGTGTGAAACCATACATGTATCCACTTCTAGCCAAAGGTGGTGGAATATTCCTGAAAGAAGACAGGAAGATCATGATTTAGGGATCACCTTCGTCAACACAGTGAATTTAAGACCATTAAGGACAACATGGCTCCGCCTCAACGTTACCAGCTTCTCAATATTTACTGTGGAAATCTAATTTTGAAACTCCTCGAAATCGTGCCTACAGACACCAAAGGGAAGAGAAATTAACCAGGACAGACGCCTCCACTCTTGGCCATGTGACCTCCGGCGGTGATTTAAAACAAACAAACAAACAAATCAGACAAAGGGCTGACCTTAAGGGGCGAGCGTTCGTAGAGCCGTGGTGACCAGAGAGTGGATTTCTGGACCCAGCTGCGTCAGGGTGGAAGTTAGAGGGTGTGAGGACTGATGGGGACCGAGGAGCGAGCCAAAGCCCAGCCTCGCCGCCTGGGGAACTAGTGTTTTCCTCGGCGAAAGCCTAACCCGCACCTGGGTCTGGTCCCTGTACACCGAGTGCCAGCTTTGCCTTCCGGCCCATCCCAGCACCGGTGTTCCAGGATCTCCGCGTCCTGCCCCCGTCCGCACCCCTATGCCCTCCGCAGAGCAGGCGGTACTGTCGGAAGTCACCCCCGGCTCTTCCGCCACTCCCCAGCCACAACCCCACGCCCAAACTGGCCTCAAAGAGGAGGCAATTATCCTGCCTCAGGACTCCTTTCTTCTCCTCCCTGGCCGTTCTGGAGTTACGGAACACCACACCCAGCTCAGGAAAGACTTTCTTAAATACGACATTTCACCTTCTTCATTTCAGTCTCACCATCTTGTCCAGGTTTCGCTGGGCTTTTAAAAGCAAACATTAAACCCACAAAAAAGTCTCTGGTAGACTGAAAATGCCCTCTTGTGTTGAATTATTTCCAGATACCAAAAGGGAGCAAGGCGGCGCGTGTGCACCGCTAGGTGGGGAATTAGCTCAAATGGTAGAGCGCTCGCTTAGCATGCGAGAGGTAGCGGGATCGATGCCCGCATTCTCCAGTCTTTTCATCCTTCGGGTTTCTTCTTTTCCCACCATACCTTGCAAGAACAAGAGCAGCTCACTAGAGGCACCAGCTCCGTCACTCAAAAGGCCGGTCATAACTTGGCAGCAACCCGGAAGGGCCTACTTGTTGCCACACAGTTCTGTAGGAAATGGCCGAGTTCTTTGAGATTTCCATTACGGCTTGGAGAGCTGGAGTTTTGTTACTTTTGAGGGAATTTGCAAACCTACACTTTCAATAGTTATGTGATAATATTATCTTTTTATTCATCTATTTCCCGTTTTCCTATCCAGTCCTTACAGCTGCAAGTAAACGCCTTCCCCTCTGTTAATAAGATGAGAAAGTGTGTGTAGATCGTGCACAGGTGTGTTGGAATCTAGGTCGTTTGCTTATTTGCTTCAGTTCACGCCGGAGCGATGGCCCGTTCTAGACTATCCAGAATAGCGTCCAAGATATGGAAAGAAATGTAGGACTCTGTCTGGGTTGGGACGTACTGTGCCTTGCAGAAAAGCCTAGTCCAGGACTATCTAGACATTTTGTAACCGAGGCCCAAACTTTATCTTTGAAAAGAAAATTGGACTATTTTTCTTTTGCCTCCAACACCCTTTGAAAACACACGATCTTCCGGAGCTACCAGCTCAGACAGGTCTGCAGCTGGCCCGGCCTCGTGGTTTTTCGTGCTGTTAATTTAAGATCGTTATGGTTTACAACAAAAATTGAAAATATCTGCTAAGAGAATATGGGATGGAAGGCCCAAGAAATTGCAAAGCACAAACCCTTGTACAACTTCGGTATATGGATCTAAAACCTTTGCCAGTTACTTTGTCTTACTTGATATTAATCTATTTAACACTCTCCCACAGTGTATCTGAGATCGCGTTTTTGTATCTCAAATCACATTTTTGAGAGCGGAAGTAACGTAGTTTCATGGGGTTAGCTTAGCAAATACTTTCTGCTGATACTGAGATCTCCTTTTGCATTTCTCCCCTAAAATTGCCATTTCTTTTCTAGCAGTGCTTTTTGTTTTGTTTGATTTTAAGACAAAGGCTCACTTTATTGCCAGGGCTGGCCTGAGACTCCTGGGTGATAAACCCGCCGCAACACCGGCCTAGCAGTGTTTTTAAAGCCCTTGCCCTCATTAAAATCGTCTGCATACCTTTTGAAATCAGCGCCGCCTAGGTTGTGAAATATCTCCAGGTGATTCTGATATGCGCTAAGTTTCCCCAGTCGCTTGAAAAAACAAACAAAACAACAAACCACCGTCACGTAACAAGCCAAGACCACTGAATAGACAGAATTTTCCCTGGGGTCAGAGGCCTGGTGACTCTCCGGGCTCAGGAGCTGGAGCCTGAGGTCCAGCTGCTGAGAATTCTCCTCTGACCACTGGGGGGCGCGCGTGCCCCACCGATTACCCGAGGGCCTCGTAGTCACTCCCCCGGCGCGGAGGGCTGAGTGCGCACTCCCGGCTCCAGACCCCGGGCCCAGGGGACGGACATTCCTGGTCCCTTTCTTCAAGGGACAAGGATCTCCAGGGGTGGGATTATGTGATCTATGAAGTCGGAGACTGCTTGCGAGCATTAAAAATTATTACAGAGAACAATTTTTCAAACTTATATTCATTTCACTGCACATCGAGAATGGGGTTAGGCTGATTCAAACTTTGAAGACGCCACTCAGTTTATCTTGCGGGTGAGCTACAAAAGTAAGCGCTAAAACTACGGATTCCTTCGAGCCGGATTCGAACCAGCGACCTAAGGATGCCCGGAAGATCCAACTACAGTCCTCCGCTCTACCAACTGAGCTATCGAAGGACCCACGTGCGCTCTCCTCCCACTGGGGATGCCATCTCTGCGTGAGGTTAGACTCCTGCCTCTTACTTTTTTAGTTGTATTCGTTCTTTTCTTTTCATTTTTTTTAAGATTCAGCGCCTCTTCAGAACCAAATTTCTGCCACTTGATGCCTTTGCCCCAGAAGAAAACGTAAGTTTGAAAACCAAGGAAACAGAAACAAAACTATTATAAGGACTATTGAGAGGACAAACCTTTATTGTGGTGAATTTAAACAGCCAGTTTGTAACCCATTTTACCAGCAAGATTTGAAACGATTAACTTCTAGCTGCAGCAAAAGTCTCTGACTGGTCCGGGTACGGTTGTGTACGCCTACAATCCCAGCACCAGGAAGTCAGGGGCAGGGAGATCTCAGTGAAGTCCAGGCCCAACCTGGTCCACGAAATGAGTGCAGTGAGAGCCCGGTGTAAACAAATCAACGAAGATACCGTGGGATAAGACAAAAGGAAGGGTTTCCTGTTCCCTTCACCTAAGGCCCAGTCTGCCCTGCAGCCTCTGTATCCTTTCTGTCTCTCTAAAGTACACACTTGCCTGCATGGAGAGGTCAAACACTGTCCCTGAGTCGGCTCGGTTGCTCAGAGTGAGTGTCTCAGCCTCTGCCCTTCACCCAGAGCCTTGCTAAGCTCAGAAGTATTCCTACGCCATTGTGGTCCCGCAGATGGTCCCGCAGACGATTGCCTTCTGGGTTTTGTTTCTTGTCCTGCGGCTCTCTCCCAAAGAGCATGTAAATTGCCTGCAGACGATCGGTCACGAGGAAAGCTCACGTGAGATTCTTTGTCAATTCAATCACATTTACTGAAAAAAAAATTAAAACATATATATTATATGTTTTAAAAGACCCTGCGGGAGAGCTTTGCTGCACCCCAAAACAGCCAGAGCTTTGAGCATGACTTCCTTGTCTCCCACTAGAAGAAAAAAAAAAATCAATCTTGCATTTAAACCATCTGTGACCACCTAACTATGTTCGTCAATCGATTTGAAAGACTCCATGGCTTCGAGCATTGTAAGTTAAACCCACTGCTTATGTTTGATTCCCAGTTTCACTGCGTACATTCCAGCAACATCACCAAATCTAGGGACTCCACCCTGCTAGTTACTATACACGATCGTGTGTTGTGTCAGACCTAAGGAGCTGCCTTTCTGAATAGGTAGCGTGAGAATTTTGTTGTTGTTGTTCTATGGCATGGTTAGAATATGGAATGACATGACATAACAAATGGAGACACATTCGGGTTCTTAGGTAGAGGAAAAAGGAAGGCTTGGGTGGGAGAGGCTGGGGAGGGTGACTGGACACTCAGACGTGGGTGTTTTTGCAATGCAATCTCAATGACCTCTTGGCGGATTTAATGAGGTGCTGAGTGTTAATTGGTTTTTCGAAATGATGCAACTGTTACCGTCTAAGCCCCTTTGCTTTGATTACATACCAGTCAACTTCGGGTATGAATTTGGTCCTTCCTATATTGAAAACAATTGAAAAATGCATCAAACCACATAGTTATAATTCTTACTATGAATTTATGAAGTTGACAGGCAATCTGGCCGACTCGGCCTTCCTGACAGACACACAATCAAATGTCTTACTTTGCTGCGGTCCGCTGTGATTCAACACCTGTCAACATCAGCCTCCTCGCAGAGCTTGTCTGTATTACTGTCCCCTTCAGGTCTGTTCTTCACACAAAGAGCAAGGAAGCCGGGAGACTTGGCAGGTGATGGGAACACCAGCAGAAAGCACCAGGGGATCGGAGAGGGTTGATGCCTGGGGCTTTGGAACTGAGCTCCTGTGGGAGGACGGTGCTCAGAACCAAGTTAGCCACAAGGTCTGGAGCTCTGGAAAAGCATTAGCGATCCAGGAAACATTTTGTGATTTATCAAGGAGAGAGAGATGGAAAGGAAAAGAAGAGAGAAGGGGAGGGGAGGGAGGGAGGGAGAAAAAGAAGAGACATCAAGAAAGAAAGATCGAGAGATAGAAAGAAAGGGAGGAAAAATAGGAAAGAAAAGATAGACACCAGTGAACGAGAATGGGAAAAGAAGGAAAACGTCAAGTGGAATACAGAGTAATAATTTGCTGCAAAATTTTGTTGTTGGAGTTTCATCTACCTAAAAAAACTAACGTAAATGACGGAATAAAATCTAAAATCGGAATTTATGGCTACTTTAAGAAAGGGGGAACAGTACATATTCTCCTATTAAAGTGTAGACGCAGCTTGCACAGGTGCCCGGCTAGCTCAGTCGGTAGAGCATGAGACTCTTAATCTCAGGGTCGTGGGTTCGAGCCCCACGTTGGGCGCAGGCTTTTTGTTTGCATTACCATATAATTCCTTACTTCATTACTATGAAGCAAAAACTGTTTTCAAAGCCTGTAACTTTTAAAAAAATTAATTCTAATTATGGCATCACCGCGGGCAGCTCTGGAACGTTGTACCATGCAGCTATACCGCTTTTGCAGAATTTAGAGCCCCTGACTTTGGATGGCGCGGGGCTTGCTGGCCTAGCGAGACTCTGAGACCCACTGGAGGAAAAAGTGAAAGTCAAATCTGAAAGCAACTGGTTTTAGTTAGAAGAGATTTCAAGATATAAAGCGGAAGACAGCGCATAGAAAGAACACTTGCAAAGGAGAATGTGATCTTGACACCATTTGGGGTACAGCTAAATTTAAACTTCCAGTGACAGGAAGGCAAAACTGGGCTCGTCCGGGATTTGAACCCGGGACCTCTCGCACCCTAAGCGAGAATCATACCCCTAGACCAACGAGCCGTGCACAGCTGTCGCATCTTCGTTTTCTTAATTATTTAACAAATTCTTTTTGCTACTGCCTGGTAGGTGTTTAGTAAATATAATTTACATTGCCTTTAATTTGGGTGGTGTTTTGTTTGTTTTTCCCGATGAGCCAGGTTACTTGAGTCTTCTG